CGGATGCTTCCAGCAAAGGCTGCTGAATCATCAGCTGGAGGTTCCAAAAAACATGAAAATGCCTAAGCTTGCGGCCACTTGAGAGTCCACCCTTATTTGTTGGGCAATATAGGATGCTGGACGCTGTACACTTGAAAGTAGTAGAATTGTGTTGCTGGGGCGAGGATACTTGGGCCAAGCAAGTCTGAACAAAACACTTGAGTCTTGTGATTTATTTTTTTGGAAGACTCGCATCACAAAGGATGGAGTGACCAAGGGATGCGCATCAGGCGCATCTGGTTGAACTGCAAAGGGTACAAGGACAAGCTGTGTGTTTGTATATATATATATATCATACTGCATATATTTGATTATATTTGTACATCAGCATTGGGATTTTGTTGGGGCAGCTTAATTAGTGACCCAGAGATGGTTTAATTACATATGAGTGCCAGAAACAAAACTTGTATCTGGCATCTTGTGGGTTAGTCAAAGGCATCGGTAGATGGGTCGCCCCCAATCGGATATGCAGCTTTCATGCAGGTGTCCTATCCCACGTCCACCACGTGACTACCTTGGTCTTCGTAGTTTTGTGGGCGGAACTCATTTTGAACAAACCCAAGTTGGGGACTTTGTGGGTACAAAAGAGGTCGGCCTGAACCATCTGAACCTTGGTTTGCTGGCGAACACCCATTAAAGGTCACCGGCAGGCAACTTCTGCATCTTCAACGCTTGTGTGGCTCACCCACACACCCAAGTGGCCTGCAGTCAAAAGCCTCCGCATGATGGGGTTAGTGAGCTATGAAGTGTATCTTTGGATCACTTACACTACAGTGCCCCTTCAACATGTCACATGGACTTTGGAAATTCATGCCATCATGCCTTCCTCTTTCATGATTTCATGTCCTTCCATCGCAGGGAGCTTGCTCCCTCGGGAAATTGGTTGGCAAAGGCGATGGTCTCTTCACCCGCCCACACCTGTCGCACCGTCTGTCATGGCACCAGCAACACAGTGCTGCCTACAGTTGAAGCCACACTTCGACGGCTTGGGCACCTGCAGCCGGCGCCCAGCCCTCGCAGCTCCGCGTCCCCCGGTCCTCCGGGCGTCCCCGGTCCGGTCCACCCCTGCTGGTCTTCTGGGATCTCTGGTGCTTTCTGAATGCACTGATTGGAGCTAAGCCCCTCCATACCATTCAGCCTCCAATGAGCCGAACTGAGCAGAACACTGTGAAAGAGCCGAACTTCAAACAGAACCATCTCGCCTTCGGGACATCCAAAGGTGTTGTTTTGTGATCGGACACGAATGAAGTTGAATGTAAGCGCGGAGACCTCAAACACACGCATACAAGTTGGACTCTTATAGAGGTTTGGGGATGATGGGCACTGATGGGATGATGCTTCCCGTTTTGAAGCCACCCTTCAAAAGCCGATTCTTTGCATCGCCACGTGATCCCGCACGCAGCTCCTCGTTATGAATGATGAACGCCACGCAGGGCAGGACTTGGGTGAACGCCCAAGTTATGCATCGAAAGAAATCCCACATTCATGCTGTAAAAGCTCAGTAGTGGTGTAACATCAAGTTCAACTCGCACAACTTAGTAGTGAAATCCTGGAGATGGGCGTTTACATAGATTCTTAGACCACACCAGTAAGAAACAAACCAGAAAGGTCCCCAGTGGCCCCCCACCTGCACCACCCATCTACTCCCTCTTGCCGACAAGAAACACCGGTAGACTGGCCGTTGGCACGACTAGACTGGCCAGTGGTTTCAGCTGTCCAGGGCTCAGGAGCCATCCAGCCATGGATATTGATTCTGAAAGAAATCACCAAAAAGGCGTCTGCACAAACCGTCTATGAAGATTACGAAGCTTGGTGAAGATTCTTCTGGTTTGTTCTGCTTGGTTTAAGTGATGAGCTAACAGTTGGCTACGGTTCCGCGGTAACTTCGAGGCCCACCTTTCTCTTTCGCTTGGCCCTAGCGGCTCTAGCTTTCTTAGCTACCCTGGCAGCAAAAACACTCCAACTTCCCGATGTGGCACACAACTCACAGGCTTTTCTATTTCTGGTAGCCTCTTGAAGGGTTCTGTGAGGGTTCTCATGTTCCGGCTTTCTTGCAGGATTTCAGCGACATGTTCACTCATCTTGAACATCAATCATTGAGCCCAAAGCTGCAGTGAGAGGTTTGGGCTGTGGCTCTCAAGTTGAGGCTCTAAGCAGTCCACATCTCGACACAGGTCATGCAAAGCAAATTCACCTCATTGGGGCCTACGAAAGATCCACTCAATCCACACAAGCTGGCTCCAAACAATCAAAGAACAGGACTGTGTTGTCACTTGTAGATACTCCAAAGAAACGCATGGCGAGCCACATAGATTGGCTCGCCAATATGCATGAACGAAAAAAATACATTAGAAAATAATAGAAAACACATCAATGGGGTAGTCTACAACTCACAATCCCACGTAGATGAACACCTCAAATGACCTCAAGCAATCCCAGGTATGTTATGATCAGTGGATTGGATTGGTGTTCAATCAAAGCCATGCAAAGTCTGCGTTCAGCTGCCCATCTTTAAATCAGTATAATTGATGTACCGGCTTCCGAGCCTGGTTCCAACAAAAACTAGATCAACTAAATAAAATATCATGAAACTCCAGCTTCTTGATCCACAAAATTAGCTGCGCAAATTTGGCGCAAATTGTCCGGTCCAACAGTTTATGGGCAGTGTTTGGTATTCTTAGATCCCAAAAAAAGCAGCTGCCCAGCCGGGCCTCCTCGCTACTCAGTTGAGCCTGCAGGCGAAATCGTGCCGATTGAAGAACCGGCTGCCCCTTGAAGACCCCGCCAACCTCCCTGCCAGCCACCGCCCCCCAGTGAAACACTCGTTTCAATAGATCTGTTTTCATTCTGTTTCTCGTCATTCTGTTTCACTACAAACCCATGAAGACGACTCAGACTTTGATTCACATCCCAAAAGAAATCACCTTTACCCTTATTCTGACCAATGCCAACATCGAGCCGTGTCCGCCGCACTTCCACTTCCAACCCGATCTCTTTAGCGGCGGATGGTCTTCATGGTCTTCTCATGTCTTCTCAATTGTTTCCCATGTTGCCCGATTTAGGACTTGCTTGAGGTGAAACATGGTTTCCACCAAACCAGTTTGGTGTGCCGGAACTAACCTCTGCAAACCAGCACCCCATGATCAACATGGATCCACATACGGGACCTTATGGAGAAACTCTCCATTCTCCACCAGGTCCGAGGTCTGGACTACTGGCGGGGTGTTCCAAAACAAACACAAGGTCTGGAGCCAACAGGGTGAGCAGGGCCACCACCAGACCAACACGGTCCGGACCGCGCCACCGGAACACGACACTCAGCACCACTCTTAGTTGATTGTACCAGTGTGTAAACGCGGAGTCCACTGGGAAGAACTCCTTCACTGGGTCTCAACAAAAAGAAGCCAAAGAATCTACTTGTGGTGTGTCTCCTACCTCGAGTCCTTGGGAACGATCGATATGTTTTTTAATGTGATTGAAAGTCTGGCCACGGTTGTACCAACTTGGGCTCTCTTGTTTTCTTTTTTTTGCACTTCTTGTATCAACGCCAGTAGCCGAACAAGCATCGTTCCACAACATCCAAGAACAGTTCAGGCAAGTCACTTGCTTCTGCTCATCCCAACACCCCCGAAACCCCAACAATCCCTTGATGAACAACACATGTTGACCTAAACCGGTAGGATTAGGATGATGTTCGTTGATTGAAGAACGCCAAACCCGACCCGTCCCAGGGACAGGTTTGGTGGAGACGCGAAACGGACACCGGCAAGGACGACCCAACGGTGGGTGCGCCTTGGTCTCGGTGAGCTGGGCCTCTGGAAGAGGCGTTGGAGTTGGCAGTGAGCCACAGCCCATGTTGAGCAGTGGACGATTCCTAGGCTAAAAAGTCTTGAATAAGCTATATTCAGATCTGGATCACGATGAGTGAGGTGGAAAGGTACTTAACCCGAAATTCTGAACAAAGACATCCTAGCTACTAGTGGAAACGAGGCAAGCATACCTTGAGTCATCGTAGAGTGGCTCGTGTTCACGTGGAGATCTGGTTTGGTTCCTACTGTCAGCCGCTGTCAGCACCGGGCTGTGTTACCTGTGTGGTATCAATCGCTCTTCAAGTCCAATTGACACGTGTCACGTGTCCGGAACAACGAGGCGGTTCAATTGAGGCACCCTTTAACGTCCTCACATGCTGTGGCAACATCTGCTCGCTTGCTCACGTCGTCTTTTGTTCGTACCTCAAGCCTATCTCCTGTATCTGCAAAATGGACTGGCGAGTCAGTCATTGCTTAAGAGATGCCGATCATTGCCAAGCTGAACGAAGTGCGTTGAGACGTGTGATCTGAGAGGGATATGTCCGAGTGGTAGAGGTTCGGTGTCGGCCCTGTCAGTGTGTCCAGACTGTAGACACCAAGTGCCACATGTTCCCCAGAGGGGGGGGGCTGGCGGACAGGATGTGTGAACCAAGTCACCTCTGTTTGGTGGTGCTTATTGGAAGTGGACCTGTCACGCCAAAGGAACGCCTCTTTCAGGAGCCTCGTGCCTTTGCGATGCGAAAAAAAAGAAGGTGCCTGCTCATGTTTCCTGCATCTTCCTTCCAAAAAACCTGCTGCATGCTGCTGAATCCTGCATTGAGTCTCATGATTCAACAAACGAATCGTGCGCCTTCCACGGTCCTCCTTCCACGGTCTTCCGGTCCCGCGAACTCTTCGAGTGATCCACCCAGCTCAGCTGGCCAATCCTCGACCTACGAGTTACTTCTGTGATGAAAAAAAGGGGCGTCATTACAGTGGTTTCAGAGTGGATGGCACAAATATCCAAGTTTGGTGGTTTATATGGACCCCCATCTGTCTAAGACATCTTGGGGTTCCAGTGCCATCTACTCTGAAACCACTGTAGAAGATTGAGATGGTTGGTCCTACCTCATCCTAGGAAAGTGTGTTTCGCAGAAAACCCTCCAAACTCCCTGGCCTCCAAAACCTTCAGTTTCTTCAGCTGAGCTTCTTGTTCCACTTCCCGGGCCTAGCACAGGACTCCAAACGAAAAGAAAGGCGTTTGATCGGCGCTTTTTGCCCGTTTTGGTATCGTCAAAGTTCAGGATCGACAGGAATGCCCACACACTGGAACTGCTCCCTTTTCCAACAAACACTTGGTCAAGGAACTGCCCAAAATTCAGTTCTAGAGCCATTACAAAGTATTCAGATTGCGCTATATCAACTTGACCAATCAGGCCTTGCCTGGAACCGGCTGAGTGGAAACCAAAAAAGCCCGGTCACCGTGTATTTAATGATGTTTCCCAGTGTTTTACTAAGGACTTTAGACTACAAAACCAAGTAAACCTTTCTTTTGATGGTCTTGAAAGGTAGGGAATAGAATAGACCATCTGCGTTCTCGTCTTGAGTGTTCGAGACGGGTGCGCCCTTTTTCTCGGCATCTCTGCACGTTCGTCACTATATAACCAAATTGGTCCCTCTTCCAACAGCAAAACCAAACTACATTATAGGATAAACTGACTAAACGGTCTTGTTAGAGATCCTGGAGTCTCCAGAGTCTTTACAGAATGACCCTCCCAAAATCTTACACTACTCTCACAAGACATCCCCATACAAACGCATGAACTCTCGTTTGTGTCCTCGAAACCAACACCAACCAGTGATACGTGTCCCTCGGACACCGAAGTGATGACACTCATCCGGGTCCATGTTTGGCCGCACGGCCGAAAACGGCCGCCGTGGTTCCAATGGACGAGGTCGTCTAGAGTCTAGCGTCCATGGGTCCTCTATGTTGTTTCAGGTTTTTATTAATAGTTTCTCTCAGAATCTCAGGTCTGACGGTCACACCTCGTCTTTCATGGTCGCTTCCATAGAGCGCCGGAAGTCCTGGGGCTCAAGCAGACTGCACACCCAAAGAAGCGGTCGAACCAAAGCTGCAAAAAACTCGCAAACTCAGTCAGTGGCACTAGTCAGTGGCACTACTCCACGGTTTGATGGCGGGTTTGGCACTTGTGTTGTTTTGCTTGGTCGTTGGTGAATTCAATGGTGCTTTGGCACTTGTGATGGGATGCATCGCGGCGGATCTGCAGCTCCCAATCTCTCGATCCTGTCACAACCGCTGGGACCGCTGCAACCACGCGTATTATAATATATACATATAACATTATACACAACCGCTGGGACATCCTGAAGGCCGAGCAATTCCTGCCGAAGCTCCTGACGTCGGAAAATCCGCCAATGGGAGGGTGCGTGCACGCTGGGAGAACAGGGAAACCGTCCGGGTGGGCAGTGCTGGAGGGTTTTGAAGGTCTGTAAATACACCATCACGAATCACAAGTAACCAGTGCTTTGGACATCATATCAAAGGGTGGAAAAAGGGAGATCTATGAGAACAGGTGATCCCTGGACGCAGGCCTTGCCAAAACAGTACTTAGTACCACTGCCATTGGTTCATACTGGTTCCTCATAAGGTGGTAAGTGGCATTCACTAGGTACTGGGGAGCTTACGTCCTAGTGAGCAAAAGCCGATCTTCGCTACAATGCTCTGGGCAAAGGAAGGTCATCCCAAGTGTGTGGGCAAAATCTGATGAACTGCCCTGTGAGTGTCTCTTGTCATGAGCTGCCATCGTCTGACCCTTGGCTTGAACATGCTTCAAATGGTCATCCGACGCATCAACCACCATGGATGAATCAACCATTGTTGTACGGATTTGGCATCACAAAACCAAGTCGGCATCACAAGCGTTAAGTGGTCGTCTCCTTCGCCCATGGGGGGAAAACAACACGGATTCGTTGGAGCCCTGTAGCCGTACTTCGGACTCTCGGTGCACGTTGACGAAGGCGTGCCTTGCTCTTCTCTTCTTTGAAGTCTTCCAAGAGAGATGAAGTGCCACGTTGCACCTCAGCGCTCAGCTCCTGCATGCAAACTCCACGCAGAGGGAAACCATGGGAAACCCATAGCCAAAGCTGCAGGGAGAAACAGGAACTGCAAACACGCCGACGTATGCAGTGGCACGTTCGCATGCAGCGTGTTGAATCCACGACTTCAGTGCTGACCAAACCTCGCTGGTCCAGGTCAGCGCATAGGTCCAGCGGACGGAGCTGTCCTTGAGGCTCTCTTCCATCCGCTGCCGATGGTCTCTGATGTCGTTGGCCATATCCTGTGGATTGGGGTTCCAAGTGCCCCAGGGCCAAAACCGCCACCAAAGGACCAAATTAGAGCATGGTCTCCGCCGTACACCCAAAAAAAACATGGTGTTTGATCAAAACAACTAGCCACAAGCCAAAGAGAGTGGGTGGTTGTATGCCACAAGGTGACAATCCTTGGCATACAACCACCTACTTTGGCATACAACCACCATACTCCCAGAGTCTGCAAGGAGAGTAGGTGGTGACAAAAGACTCTTTGCAAAATCCTTGCAGACTCGTCTGTCGAGTCCCACGAGCAACTTCCCAGAGTACGTCGTCGGCAGAGTACGTTGGTGGACGGACTTCTTCCCCTGAAACAGTCCGTCAAGTCCCTAACAGTGAGTATACAAGAAAATCACATGCATGAAAAAAGTCAATTGCAGTAAAAGAATAGATGCTGACAAGTAGTCTTTACACGAAAATATCTCCTGGCCCTGTGGAGATTGCAAAACGACCAGACCAATGATTCACAAATCAACACGTCTCCCATATCCCTTGAAGAAGGGGCAAATGCAAATTCATGCTCCAGAGTTTGGGGGACCCTTTCCAAGCCAATCTTTGTGGGACTCCTTTCCCCAAACTATGAATAGTAATAGAGGGCTAAACTGTATCAAGTGTGACACCATCAAGGGCTAAACATAGGAGTCTTTGTGATGTTCTCTCCGTTCATGAGGCACGCCTAGACCGAACACGAATTCTGCGGGTTCGAAACCTAGACCTAACATGACCTAACAAAGGAAACACAATAATAAACAAACTCGATGTCCATCCGTATGCAAACCTTTTGGCGTGTCCAGGTCTGGGGATTTCAGACTCCACCAATGGTCAGGACTCCATCCCGTTCTCAGATGTCGCTCCTGTCGCAGCTGTGGGAGCTGCTCCGCGTTCACCTACAAGGAAACAACTTGTCTGTCATTTCAAATGGTCATCGGAAGGGAAGTGCCCAGGAGTTTCTGGCTTTCAGGCAAGTGGGAACATCCAGATTGATCAGTCAAAGGACTTAGAGTTCACACGTCCCGACCAGGTGTATCTTGCCTCTCTTCTGCAATCATTGCTGTGCTCAAGCTGGATGACTATACTATCCCGGTCCCGGGAATCTGCTCCTACTCTTGGCTAAGCCATGCAAACACCACAAACAATGCAATGAGAACCAAAGAAACACATGGCTAGGCAATGTGTTTCACCTGTGGTGCCAACACACATGAACGAGCGTGCCATAGCGCGCCTTCACGTGAGTCTCGATGAGCTCATCCATTCTCTCTTTCAACTCGTTCACCCCTCATCACTGGGATGGTTGGAGGGATGGATGGATTGGGACACTGGGATGCACCCATCTGTCTGAATGACCTGTCATACCTCACCAAATCAGGCTGCAATGTTTGGAGATGGGTCAGAGCGCCGGAGGCGTCATTGGACTTGGATTCTAGGGATGGGGGGCCACCCAAGACATACAGTAGCTTCATCTGAGAGATTGTCAGGTCATGGTGTTTGGAATGTACGTGAGACTGACACGTTTTCTCTGCCTCTAGGAAGAGGTCTTACAAGATTTTCGCAAGTAGGCCAACGACATTGGTCAATCCCTCCTACCTTCAGACGGTGGGAGCTCGAATAGAAGGACACAGATTCTAGTCACCTTCTTCCAGTTTCGAGTGGGCAGACGAAACACTGGTGTCTGGCAGGATTCTTTGAAAGAAAAGTCTCAAATCCGCTGCGCAAGCAAAGATTCCTCTGACAAAGACGCGTTCGCCATGCTCCTCGGAAGGTGATTTCTGGTGAGTCCTTCTCCCTTCATGGCAAGACCAGGTCCAGTCATCATCTGATCTGCCGTGGCTCTGAAAACTCTGTCTTGAGAACAGTCAGCGTCAACATGATATGCCTGTGGTTGACCTACCTCGAATCGAGGTCTTTCGCTGCATGGACGACCGTCGGGCTCCGGGTGGGTCGACGGCGATCGCGTCTCTCTGGGCGCCTCTCTGGGCGACCGCGTCTTCCACCTGTGAACCCGAGCGGCGGAAGTTGGGTGTCCGTGACCTGTGGGATGCACTGAGGGATGAGATACCAACTAGTTGATGTTATTTACGATTTAAAGGATATGATATCATCATCATCATAAACCAGGTAAAAAGATTGGTGCTACTGAACAACCACGAATTGAAACGAATTGTATTGACGGATTTTACTGAACAACCATTGTTTGACTGAGTCGTCTAGACTCAGAACTAGAAAACCAGCTCAGCCCGTTTTGAAATGGTCGAAGGAAGGAAGGCGACCAGGTATACACTTAAAAACTGCTGACACGGGAGTTCTATGGATGTCTATCCACAAAATTGATGGTCCATATTGTTTTGTTCTGGCACTTTCGGGAAACATGAGCCCCAAATCGTATACAGGGGGAGCAAAGATCCGCAAGGGGAGATCAGATAGGTCTGTTCAGGCTGAGGTCATGAGATGTCATGTGTTCCGTCTTTTACGCACTCCTCAGGTGAAAGGTGACCCAAACATATTGGGAGAGCAGGAGATGAGAGGCCGAACTTACTTGGGCAAGCATGTACACCACCCCAAAGCCCGTTTTCCAAACATGATCTTCTCCGTTTTTCCTGAACTGGTGCTGGTAAGCATCTGATAGGAGCTTCTCTCCAGGTGCCCCACAGGCGTTGAACGCCATCTACGGCCAAAATCAGAACAATCATAAACCTACAAGAGCGGGGAGTGTTTTGTCTTGCTTGCTTGCTGCATTGGTTCTTTCTTTCTTTTTGGAATCTCTGTTTTGCCTCCACTTGGCCCATTGTTTATCCAGACGTGTGACATAGTTGTTGGAGACCAGAACCCCCAGTAATCCTGGCTTGATTCATTTGGCTCAAACGCATTCCTTCATTGGCTGTTTTTTGACCAAAAATGGTGACTTTTTTTGACCTGAGTGTTGGCTACCTTTGCCTCATGACCATAGGCTTTGCGGCACAATGACGCATCTGTTGGGCGCCAGGGGCGGTCAAGACCCAAAACACGAGGTTTCATCCAACACAGCGGTGTCTCTTCCAATATGGATTCTGAAGTTGTGGTAGTGTGGTAGAACTTCCCTCTTAAGAGGCCGCCCTCCGTCCGCATCACAGTGACACTTGGTGGTCCTTCTCGTCCTTACCACCTGAAGTTTTGGGAGACACCAAATCTCATCCGGTGCCTTACTAGTAGTAACAAGAAGCTAGTAGTAACAAGGACCCATGCAGAAAGATCTGCTGGGCACAAAGCCCGCCATCAGGGTGAAGGCCAGCCCATAGCGTGAGTGAGTTGATTGCCGCACTGGGCCCTTTGATGTCCTTCCCTAATCACTATATAAGTAAACAAATCCCATATATAGCTGCTTGTCAAATGCGCAACTTTGGGAATTGAACTTGTTCCATACTGTAATTAGGCAACTTTGCCACCCCATGTGATCTCACAAACGCACACAATCCCCTCATGCTCCACACAGGACTCCCCTGTTGCACCTGAGCTTTCTGCTGAGAGTCCTCGAGGCGCCTGGAACCCAGCGTTCCAACGATGCCCCAAATGAGCCCAACAAGTCACACGAACTTCGAGGTTTCCAGTCTTGGATTGAAGTTTGTTAGCCCCGCCCCAAAGCCTGTGATAAAGCTACGTACTGCGAATGACTCGAAGTCATGAATTGTTTCACTGGACTGCTGCGTGAGTACTCTCACGCCGAATGTGATGACATGTTGAAGGCAAGTGCAATTTTCCCACTTTGGGTGTTCAAAAGCATTTGTATAAATATCCTCAATCTGGAGTCTGGAGTCCATAAGCAGGCTGTCTTCAATTGCACAATCAAGAACCTAACATGGCAACTGGCTTCAACATTCTCAACCACGGGGTCCAACTCTTTGAGAGAATCGTTGGTCAAATATGGAAACCTCAGAGCTGCATGAGGAAAATTCTGGACAATTATGTGAGTGTTTAGTGCTTTGATCACATGAAAAGCCCTAGCTAGACAGGCACACACACACACACCACAGCTATCCCTGTCGCGCCTGATACACCTCTCATGCTCGATGATCTTGGGAGAAATCTCCTGGAACTACAGCAGCCGAACACTCTCAGGGCCCTTGTGACAGGGGTGTCGTTGGACCCGTAAAGGACTCCGTAAAGGTTTTGTCAACCTACCACTACTTGGCCCCCCCAAGACTTGGTGTCCTGGTGCAGTCCGGCCCGTACGGCCCGTACTCGGTCCGCGGTGTGATCAAATCATCTTGAAGCGAGGAAAACAAGGTGTGATCAAATCATGGGACGAATTTGTGGTATACCAGGTGGTTCCCCAAATTCGTCCTATTGGCAGGAGACACTTCCCGCAATGGCCATTGAGAAGAAGTCTGAAGCTATCTTCCAACCACATGTACATGTCACACCTACCCACGGAGGTTGACCAGGCCTATCCCATGTGTCGGAACAAAACAGCTTACACCTTCTGTTAGAATTCTTTGGGCGGCTGGCATTCATGAAACCTACTCACAACTTGCTGTAGCTGATCTCACCTGCAGAAATTGATTATCTTTACACTTGTCCAACCATAAAATTGTTGCTCTCCTTCACTCCAGCTCTCTTCCTCTCCCTCCCTCCCTCCCTCCCTCCCTCCCTCCCTCTCTGTCCAATCCCACAAATTGTCAAAATGATGCAGAGAACTGACCCTCAACCACCTCGAGTGCACGCAGCCTTAGCGAATAAAACCTGCCTAAACCTGCCTTCAGTTGCATCACCAAGGGTTTGAGGCCCAGCTGATCTTCACGGAGCTCCTGACCAGCCGAACCACTCGTCGAGGGTTGGGCGACGAGTGGTTCGCTGCGTTTGGGAGGTCGGGATGGACCTCCCAAAGAAAAGGCCAAACAATCTGGGTTGAGAGCTTTCCAAACCAAAGGCCAAAAAGGGCCGAAAGGCATTGTTGAGGTCAACCGAGTTGAGTTCTGGTGGAGGTAATCTGAAGGGAATCCGTCCCTTCCGGTGGTAACTGGTTTGACCTGAACGCCTGAAGGTCCAGAACTCGAGTACCAAGGAAACAGTGTCCCCTCCAGAACTCGATCGGACACCTGCGACCCAAGTCAAGGGGAGTCACTGTTCTCCTCTGCGGCCGGTTTTGTCCCTCACCCCCCCTTGCCACACTTGAGAGGAGGGAGACACGAAAGGTAGGACAGCGGGAAGAGAAGAGAACGCGAGAGGCAGGAACAAAAATGCAATGTTCGACATGGTGATTTATCCCCTCGGAGGCGACCTTTCGTAAATATATGTTCATATGCACTCTAAATGTTCAAACATATGCTCTCGAAATGTTCAAAAAGATTCTTAGGAAAACAAACTTGCCCCATGGCTCAGATCATCAGTGAGCATTGAATCGGAACATCATAGGGTTTGAACTATCCTGAAACCATAAAAGGCTCAGAATTGACGTGCTTCACAAAACAAACTCTAGGTATGTATCCCCTCGGGGAACACCTTTCGTGATTTGAATTTCATATTCACTCTTTCTGAATGTTCAAGAGGGTTTCAACTATCCTGAAATCATGAGAGGCTCACGAAGACGTTCTCCAGGAGAGAATTGATTTTAGAGGGGGGGAGGGGGGGGGGGTCTGAATTGAGCGATCAATTATTAGACCCGGACGTCCCAACACTTGCTTCGCAAGACAAACTCAAGGTATCCCCTAAAGGGCTACCTTTCGTGACATCCGAATAGATTGTGTATATGGTCATCCGATAACACTATGGTGAAACATTGTTATGACAATGTTGTGAAGCTTATGAAGTCGATCATGTCACCCCCCCACCTCTGTTGGCTGTTTTGGGCACCCCCGCTTTGTTGCCTGTACGTGAGGTCTCTTAACTTGTCTCAACAGTCAAACAGGTGGTGCTTGAACAAAGAGCTATGTCGTCCCCAACGCTGGGTCCAACTCGCGACCCTTTGACACAAGTTGACCCAAAAGCATCCGTGATGGCCCAAGATCATTCCGACCATGTACAACCCCCCCCTCAGGGTGATGGTAGTGAAAGCAAATCTCCATGTCGTCAGCAAATCGAGGGCACACATCCTTTGAAATACGTATACAGTGTATATTTCGTATATAATATATATAAAATATATAATATATAATATGTAATATATGTAATATATATAATATATATAATATAATACAGTGTATATATATAATATGTAATATACAATATATATAGATACTCGGCACTCTCCATCTGGGACCTTTTTCTCAAGGCTCTCGA